TATATATATAGGCCTATATATATACACATATGGAAATTATTTCCAAAACATTGGTTTAAAATCGCTTGCGTTTCAGGTATTTTTTAAGTAAAACTGTTCTGAAATTTATTATAGTAATTAAGTATTTTGGCGAATATTGTGCTGTCTATTGTTGCAGTATAAAGCTCTGTTCTGTGGCTTTGTCGGTGGGCTTATGGATGAAACGCAACCCCCTGCTTCAAAGTACCGCAACAATGACAGACTGAAGCTCTAAAATCTCATCTGACCGAGTGAAAACCGATCAATGAATGGCGATCAGATCTGGTAAAAGAGACCCAGAGCTGCTCGATTAGGGTTTATACCGCTATTTATCTGTTCCTTCTATTTTGCAAAATAATATATAAGACAGTCATTTGGAAGCAGCAAGGGTTTTCAAATGTTTCATCATTGTCAGTTTCCCAAAACAACAAATTCAATATTAGATACTTAATATATGCTGTGTTCGGATGCTTATTTGTGTAAAAAAATAATAGTCTACTCTAGAAAATAACCACCATGTTCGCCTGGGAGATCCGGGACAGGCTGCTGGCGGAGGGCATCTGTGATAACGACACCGTCCCCAGCGTCTCCTCCATAAACAGGTGAGAAAACCCCCTTTTACAATAACTGTTGTGCCAGTTACTGAGTGACTTCTTGGCTCTGTCAGTAATTTTCGAGAGAAAACGTCTTTGGCGTCTCTATAGCTTCCGTAGAGACATTTTAAACAATGTGATGTGCAAATCTGCATTAAAAAAAAAGTTATTTGACAATAGGCTATTTGTGTTCTGCCAAGAATTTGATCTTACCTGAAAGTAGTTGAGCGGCGTACGGTTGCTATGGTTACCAGCTCAGGTGAAAAGGACTTCGCGATGGTCTGTTTGGCGCACCTTGACTAACTTCTAATCGCAGTTTTAAACCTTTAAATTGAAATAAACCGCAGACATTTGAAACGCACCTCTACTTGAATGCAAAACGAATCCATTTAACGCCTTTCGACCTATTAGAAAATAAAATAAAATAATAATAATAATAATAATAATAATAATAATAATAATAAAACGTATAAACTTTAATCGATCGAGCAGTTTTCTTTTACACAGTCTGATCACCATTCGTTGAAAAAAAATAAATAAATAATAATAATAATAATAATAAT